AAGTTCATCAGACCCTCCCCAAAAGTTCCAGGATTCAGTGAATAGACACGTGTAGCCCCTCAACAGGACGTGAGCACGATAGGACGTGAGGTCCTCAACAGAAAAATCACTTGGTCATAAACTCTCTACTCCCCTGCTCCACCAAATCTGCAGGCAGACAACTCACCCACTGCCTTTTTTATTTCTCCACACAGGAACACACTCATGACAGTAACAGTCAAAAGATGAAGGCATGGGCTCCATACCATGGTCTCTGCTGGAGGCCATGTCTCTGACAACTGAAAAACTTCAAGAAACTTATCTAAAGCACAAAAGAGAAAGCTCAATGATGACAATGACCATGACAACTACTGATGAAAATTCAGAATATAATTACCTGTGGTTAAATATCTCCATTAAACACAGGAAATAAGATAGCCAGCTGCTGTCAGAAAACCAGTGCGATTGATAAAAGAATATTTTCCATCACAGATAGAAATTTGAGGATATAAAAATTAAAATTGGTTATTATATAAACATATTTAGTGGATATTCTTATATTAAAGTAATTTTAGTCATAAAAGAAAATTCTCAAGATTCAGGAATACAAAAAATTTTTCTACGGAGTTTAACAATTCAGCTTTTCTATAGTTTAGTTTGAAATTTATGAAATAACGTAAACAATACTGGTTTAAATATTTTAGCCAGAAAAATCCAGTGTTTGCACAGAAAAGTTCCCTATTGTAAGAAATCTGACTTGAAAGTTCCCTGACATCCTTTGAATTTTACTTCCCTCCTTTGCAGTAATCCTAACAGACTTTTAACAAATATTTTAACATTTCATTTAAAAGATAAAAGACAGATGCTCCTTTATGGGATCACTTGCATGAGTAATTTTTAACATAACTGAAGCTGAATATTGTTAGAATATTTTATTTTTAGCCGAGAAAAGCATATTTATTTTCAGAGATGAAGTTGAGACTATGCTGAGTCACAGAGGTGTGGTGCAAATTTAACAAATCTACAGCATCCTATAGGAAGGTGACAAGTTCTTATTTTACTGAATTACTACTTTTACACAAAACTTCTCACTTCTGGCAAATTAGCTCAGAGATGTTTTACTGGAGTGAGTTAGGAGCCATGCTATTCATGAGCCTAACAAAGATCAGAATCTCATATACCCAGATTTTCTGCAGTTCAGGCTATAATACAAAGCCCATGCTGTTTCACACACTAGCTCTGCCTTAGCTGGTTTAGATCAAAGTTTTATCAAGTACTAAGAAAAGATGAAAAACCTATACAAAACTTTCATATCTGATGTCTCGCACCGAAGTTGTAAGAAATACTAGATAATTACTAACAAGCCTTCTGAAAAGAACAATTTTAATACAAAGCTTTCAAATTTTTATAGCAGTCCTTTCTTCACCAGGGGTGCTTCCTACCTTCAGCACTTCCAGGCCTTAAAAAAATTATTTGGTACATATTTTTCTTTTGCTTGGTACCAGCTGCACTGATAAGGGTTTACTTGTTTTATTGAGGCATATTTACTCTAAGAACTCTACCTCAACCTGAAACACATCCACTACAATGGATTTAAATTCACTTTTGTGAAATTATCTCCTCTTACAGGACAGTAATGTAGGGCAACTCTTATGTGAATGTGCTCGAGACTTGACCTGAGGCACTCACCACCGTTTCAGACCATTAATTACCACTCTGCCACACTCCACACTAATGCACCACCACTATTTATTTTGGGGAAGCTTGGAAGTGATCTCTTCAGGTGACTGACAGTAACTCAGTCTAGCAGAGAAAGTGCTGGGTCAGGGCAAGGGGCTGACTTATCTGGGTAGAAAGTCTCACATTACAGCAGCTGCCTCTGCCGTATCTGACTAATGAATAAAGGGCTTGTTTTCTATCCCAACTTTCAATTAAATTTTGGTAAACACAGACATTTACCGAAACATTTGAAACAATTTATCTGACTTCTGAATGAATGGTTGTTTTCCCTGGCAGAGAGTCAAAGCTTGAAGCACTATTCAGAGAAAATTTCAAATGATCAGTGAACAGCAGAAATTTCTGTCTCCATTTCTGATCTTTGCCATGTCAGCAGTTTGGATTTTCAATGTTAAAAACCCAGCACCCAAGACACTACAAGACTTCAAGGCGGAGGTTTTTTTCAACTCCTTTTTTCTTAAGGATCAGAATTGAGGGGAGGGAATGCTTCCATTAAGAACATCATAACCTGACAGGAAGAGGCAGGAGGTCATCAGACACAAAACATGATCTTAAAATGCTTTTTCTCTCTTAAGAGCCTACTTTATAGAGGTGCTGAGCTCCCACACCTTCACCCTACAGTTTTTGAGAGAATATGTATGCTGCCATCAGCTTTCCAAGGGAGAAGGCCATTATTGGCAGCTATTGACCAAGATGCCAAGGTGGCTTGGAAATGCTCCCAGTTGCCCACACCACCTTTTAAGAGGTAGGAAGCCAAGAACATCATGGGGTATTAGACCATAATACCCTAACAGTTTCAAAAGGTGTATATCTTTTGCAGGCAAACCTGTCTCTCCTGGTAAGACCCAAAAGTTACATTTACAACTTCTCCAGTCAGTTTTGTCAGTCTATAACTGCTATCAACACCAGGCTTCTCAGGTTCTCCAGCAATGAGCAAAATGTCGTGGAACAATCAGCAGTTTTGTATTTTCCTAGCTGTTGATCTGAGGCATGATGGAAGAAGAAAAGTAAAAGCTCATATCCTCCTCCTCCTTTCACATATCTGCTCATAGTCAGGCACACCTCATCCCAAACAACTTGGGTTTAATATCGTGATCAATATTGAAACTATTTAATATGCTGCATCCAAGCTTGTCTTTCAAACATTCCCTTGTAAAAAGAGTAATGCTTTACGATGAATTTTCAATTTAAAAAAATATTAGGGAAGAATTGCAGAAACTATAAGGCCAGCAATTAGGCCAGCCAGAAGGCCTGTGCTAAGATGCCATACTGGCTCATGCTCAGAAGTAAAACCAACTGCTTACTGTCTTCACAGCTAGATCAGGCAATTATTTTGCAGATTTCTGAAGTTATCATGCAAAAAAATTCCAATACCTGAATTTTAAAATATATACCAGCAGATTTCCTTGTACCACCGAGGAAAAGATTGTAATACACTCATGCAATATATTACATGGTTGGATAGCACAAGTCTTAAAAACGCTGAACATCCAGAATGGGTGGCTTCTGTTAAAATGCACTTCACTGGCAAGTGGCCTATATGTTACTGTGACAGGAGCAACTGCTCTCTTTGAGCGGCGCAAGTGACCGTCAAAGTCTGTCAATGAGGGATGGAGGACAGAATCTAAAAACGTTTCCAGGATTCTATTACTGAATTACCAACCAACAAGATCAAAGCAAAAATGCGAACTTAGTTTTTATTAAGGATGCTGGTGATGCCTCAGACCAATGAACTGCCTTTTGAACAAAATGATTACTGACCTCAGACAGCCACATTTTATTTCTTTTTCATTATAGCTTTTGTACTGATCTGTGTATACATATTCTATTAGCTTTTAAACCAACACAACAGGAACCAGATTTGTTTCAGTTCTGCTTGAAGTAAAATTTCACTGGCTGTACATATCAAATCTTAAACTGCACAGCCAGAACTGAATTTATACCAGCTTTTACAGAGTCAGTCAGTCATCCGCACTTCAAATGAAAAGAACGCTCAGAGTGAAGTACAAACTGTACCGCTCACTTTTAACATTTTCAAAAAAGAAAATACAACAGTGTTAAAAACAAAGATGTAGTAAAAACCCACCCCACATTAATTCCTGCAATCCCCTTGTCCCATTCACAGATGAGGAAGCAGAAGTCCATGCACACACAGGATGCAAACCCTTCCAACTCTGCACACCAGGAGGCCGAGAGCTGCTCAGCCAACACAGGGACTTCTTTGGGATCTCTAAGCATATAGCAAATAAGAAAACCTTCGCAACATTACTAAAATGAGTTTATACCTGGATGGCAGATGCCATTAAATTTAAGGCTATACACAGTTGCACTGATACCTCCCCCTTCAACTATTCATAAGTTTGTTCTTGTACTCTACTGCCCCTCCAAAACATCATCAAAACATCCTCTCTTTGTTCTCCAAAAGCCACAGACCTCTCTTGTTTTGACTTTATGTCTGGCCTGCAACATCTCATAGCAGACCATCAAGGTGTCCTGTCACTGCTGTGCCACTGAACCCTCTGCAGGCTCAAGTGTGGCTGAAGACTGAGTCCCATCAAACTGGATCTCCACTGCAGAGATGGTAAGAACTAATTCCAACATTTTGCCTTTTTAGGGAGGTGTCTGTGTGCATGCAAAGAGATCAATATCAAACCAACCAACCACCACCCTAGCTTCTGTGTTTCTTATTCAGCATTCATAGAACACCTACTTCCATAGGACCTTGGTCTGACAGGCATTATGACAGTTCAGCAGTTGCACAAAATTAAAACTTATTCTGAATAGCTCATCCAGCATTCTCGCCATCATCTTAATCCAAAAAGGCAAAATAATCAAACAGAACTGAGATTGGAGCCCTTATAAAGAACACTATGAACAACTTAGCAGCAAGAACATTACAGGCTCACTGAATTCCTGTTTCCCAATTTTCCTCTGAGGCTGCACAGTTACAGACATAGTTTCAACCTAAAAATTTGTCTGAATAGTCACAGTGATAAATATAGGCAGAATTATTATATTACTATACAGTGCAAATCCAACTCAGTGAAAGGACTGTAATTCAGCAGTAGCAATCTGGGACTGCTGTCAGCTTATACAAGATCATACTGAATTCATTAGCAACACACTGTGTTGTAAAGCTGAGCAAACTAAGGGCCAGACAAGACAAACACAGAGGAAAAATTCTAGATGGAAGATGCCTCAGTCTCCCACTTTTCAGGCATCCAGTTTGAACATCAGCATTATATAATAATGCTGGGTAATTGAAGCCTTTTATTTAAACATACCAGATATCTTTCTTCTTGCCTCATGCTGGGCGTACGAATCATGTGATTCTGTTCTCCTCTCCAGTCTCCAAAACGACGAAAAAAATAATTGGATAGAAATCGATTGACAGGATCTCTAATAATATTGATGTACACTGGCTGGTCTCCTCCAAACCTGGTGGGAAGAAAAATGAGTGAATCTCATCAGAAGATTCCATGCAGGCAAGTATCTATTATCTCTCATCTGAATGCTTTCAAATTACTTTCCACAGGAATTCAGAGCTTTTACGAGGTTAGGAGTGAAACTGAGAAGCTTACAACTAGTTACCAAAAATTTGTAAATGTGTGTAAGATCTCTTCAGGATAAATAGTAAATATTGTATCACATTAAGCTATATGTGTACAACAAACATTTTAGCTTAAGACCATTTCATCCACTGTATCAACCATTTTGCTTCTTGAGTTCTCTCTCTCCTTGCTGTTTTCAGATAAAGAACCTTCTGCAAATGAATCAGAGGATGAGCATTTCTTCTCAACACATTTCCATCTGGGAAGTCATGTCAGAGCAAGCACCATCTAACACTAACTGCCTAACGGCAGATTTGGATCACTTTCACCTGTACAGTAAGTGTAGTAACGTGCAAAGAATTTTGCAACATGCGAGCTTTCTTTCCAAAGGCTTCCTCTGGATGAACTGACAGATATGCATGGTATTTCCACCTCTATATTTGCTGGAACTTGTGCAGATCTTCATCCCCTCATCCCCAGTCTGCACCGCTGGCTGGATTTGAGGTTATTTTGTGATTATGCAACACCTCATCCCTGCACTACACTTCATGAACCTTTTTTTTCTTAAAAAAAAGCAATATGAAAATTCTTGCTTCAAAAAGGAAATTATTGATCTCATGTACATGAACGTCCAAGGAAAAGGGAAAGGTAAAACCAGCCGTGACCAGGTTTGCACAAAAGCAAAATGTAGCATAGGTACCTGCAATTTAGAGATGAGAAGACAAACCAGAGCAAACTCACCACCTCCACTTTAACCTGCTTCCTCCTGGCACTTAATGACAAATATCTTTGGTTCAATAGGTGGGACAAAAAAAGAGGAAAGGAGGAAAAAAGAGCTCAAGGTTTGTGATTACACTGCATTTTCAGAGTGTTAAAATATTGACTGCATATTGTACATCAATACACAGCATCAGGAGAGCAGGCCTAACTGGAAGAAAAAGGGGGAGGTGCTTACACTGTTCCATGGTCAAAACTGAAAAATGAACATTCATGGAACAGACTTAGGGACTTCAAATGCTGTGAGATAAGGAATAAAATAAAACCTTCCTGGACGGAGAAGTTTGTATGATAAATTCAACCTGGAAATTGTCTAAGAACACAGATTATGCTTTTCCCTTCTGTTTCCCCAATATAGGTGAACAATTCTTACTTACAGACTAGCTCATGCTTTATTTTTGGGAGCTTGAGGACCTAGCCATATTGAGGGATTTAAATGACATTCTGATGATTTTTCTGAGTCACAATTTATACATTTTCTTCTAAAATGCAAAATATTAGATTAGAAGAGAGTAAATTGAAGACACCTTTAGATTAAAAAACCCTCTCAGTCTTTCCTCATCTTTTGAGTCAATGAATAATTGAAATTGTATAATAAAAGATCAGGGCTTCTCATAAATATTAAAGAGGCAGCAAAACTGTTTAAAATTATGAATTCTACTAAAAGACAGGAGAAAAATCTCATGGAGTTGCAACTTGATTTTTATTCTGTGTTATTCCCCAGATCGCTAAATACAGTCTGCAAAGGTTTATCTCATGAATAACTATGGGTATCAGTAATGTCATTGACCTCAGTGTTGCAGGATCACTGCCATAATTTGAAATTGCACAGACAGCATCAAACTTTTAAACAATCCAATTAAAAGGCAGATGTTCCTTGTTTCCTGATTCGTGCATAGCCCAGTTTGGACATGGATGTGCAAATGAAGTATCCTGAATTTTTCCCTGAACTAATCTTTGCTGCTTTTTGTCTTTATACAGAAATAAAACCTACATTAAAATAAAAGGCATTCTTGCAAATACCACAGGACAATGACAGCATAAAGCTTTGCCAATATTTATTCAAATAGAAAGCTTCTGGTGAACGCCATGGCTGGCAGCTTTGAGAACTAAACTTTTCAAGTCAAATTGCTGGCAAGAACAGATTGCACCTAAATTCCTGAACACGTTATCTTCCTGCTGCTTGATGTACTTCAGCAATAATCTAAAGACAGAAGGGCATGGAGAAGAGCAAAGAAAAGGGGAAGCAATGGAGACAGTAAGAACTGACAGCACTAAGTTATGTTAAGATAGAGACAAAAAAGATTACAAGATTCAGAGAAGCAAGAGAGCAGGGATGTCCTGCCCTGGGTTTTGTAGAGGATATTAGGCCTAAATGCTCATC